GTGCAGGAGAAGGAACGGGGTGGTTTTTAGTCAGTAAGAGTCTGACACTCCCTCCCGCCTCACCCAGGCGGGAGCAGCCATTCGATGATTTTCCCCCCTTAAAAAAAAAAAAAGTACGACAACACACAACATACAAAATTGTGAATTTGTATGTTTGTAAACGATATGTGTATATGTATATATGACACTCAGACCCGAAAAAACAATTTGTGGATCACACAAAGTGTTGTTCCGAACGGGAATCGAAACCGCGACACGTTGCGCGGCAGCCAGTTGTCCAGCCACCGCACCAACCGTGCAGTCTGTGTATCGTATGTATATTAATATGGGTGTAGTAAAAAACGGTTACTTCAATATTACAAACAGACGCTATAATTCTATTTTGCGTGTGGGAGAGCCATGCTTCGGCACGAATGGGCGGGCTCGACCGGTGTCATACCACGGCCGAGCAGAAAACCGACGTGAAGCAACGCCTGCGTTGTGTTTCGTCGTGTGAGTGAGGTTACCGGAGGCCCAATTACCCCCCTTCCCCAGTCTCCCCAATCTCCGAATCCCCAACAATCCTCAAACTCCTAATCCCCAAAAGGCCGGTAACGCACTTGTAATGTCTCTGGTGTTCCAGGTGTCTATGGGCGACGCCGATTGCTTACCATCAGGTGATCCGTCTGCCCGATTACCGGCTTATATCATAAAAATCAAAAAAATATCTGTTCTGTATAGATGCGATAAGATATAATCTCACCTAGCTACATGACTGTGAACATGTCGAAGCAGGTTCCCTCGCCACTGGAACTTCTTATCACATTGCGGACACGGGTACTGTTGCCTGGACTTCTTCACTGAACACTTTATCTGCTCTATATGTTGGTCTATGTGTTGTTGACGCTTCTCTGGATTACTCGAGTCTGGTAGGACTTCTGTTAATTTTCTGAAAATATTGTTATGATATTATTTAGTTATTTATTTTTAGTATTAAGTAACCTGCCTCGCTAGCCGAGTGGTCGCAAGTGCGACTGCCGGGCAAGGGGTCTCGGGTTCGATTCCCGGCTCGGGCGAAGTATTACTGAGTTTTTAAAAAAAATCTCAGTAGTAGCACGGAGTCTGAAATTGTGCCCGGTGTATGGCAACAGGCTCACCTCCTATTGCATGGGACTCATAACATAAATAGTGAAAAGTGGGTGTTACATTGTACAGTGGCATCAAGTGCCGAAATGTGCACCTCTGCCTACCCCTTCGAGGATAAAAAGGCGTGATGTTATTATGGTATTATATATTATCAGTTATAAAAATGACTTACCTAAGTTTCAATTGTATTTGGTGATTACTACTCGTTCTCACGTGTTTCTGTAAATTCGCTGTGTTCGTAAATGATAACCTGAAATACAAAATTAAAATCATTATTTTTAAGAAATATTAATTTTAGCCACGCTTCGGCACTGCTGGGTCGGGTCGACCGGAACCGAGCAGAAAACTGACGTGAAGCAACGCTTGCGTTTTGTTTCGTCGTGAGTGAGTGAGGTTACCGGAGGCTCATAATCAAGAAATTTGTGTGAGGTAATTTATGAATGACGGCCTCGTTGGCCGAGCTGTCACAAGTGCGACTGCCGGGCAAGGAGTCTGGGGTTCGATTCCCAGGTCGGGGAAAGTACTACTGGCTTTTATTAAAAAAATCTCAGTAGTAGCACGGAGTATGGAATTGGGTATGAAAATTAATAATCTAATTAGTCCGTCAGTTAGGTAATGAAAAAATATTAGACACGTATTTTTTTATTTTGTCGTATAATAAAACAATACTTAGATGAAACGTATCAAAGTTTAGGAGTGGGGGCTAAAACGTCATTTCTACGTATAAAATGTACATAGAAGTGACGTCACACGACATTTCAAATCAAATTATATCGTTGAAAGTATTCGTTTCTGTAAGAAAATAAAAAATACGTGTCTAATGATTTCAAATAATCTACCACACGGACATTATAACAAAAATTAGGCAACTACCCTATATGGCAATAGGCTCAACCTCTATTACATGGGACTCATAACATAAATAGTGAAAAGTGGCTGTTACATTGTACAGTGGCATTAAGAGCCGTAATGTGCACCTCTGCCTACCCCAAACTAATGTCAACTTACTTGCACGGTTCGCAGTACGGTTTCCGTTTCTGTCCAGTCTCAATCCGATGTATCTCCATGTGTTTACGTAGCGACGCCTTCCACTTGAAAGATTTGCTGCATGAATCACACGCAAATAGTATAGGCGTGTTTGTACTGAAACATTAATGAATATTGATACATATATATATATTGTAAAGAGGTATGTAGGAATAGTAGCAATTGGCGTTCTATAGTCTCTGCCTACCCCCATGGGAAACAGGCGTGAAGTTATGTATATGTATTGTAAAACCACGCGGAAGTAGGCAGTCTTATACACTATTATATTATTATATACAGCTGAAGGGTTTGTTCGTTTGAACGCGCTAAACATATGACCTACTGGGGGCTTACTCTTGAATCCAATTCCGATCGATCGACATTGGTATTGTGAAATTTTGTACCCTTGAGTTGCAACACTCATTGCATCCGTATTGCGTAGATATTGAATGAACTAAATGGTATTGAGTTTGGCTTTATATTCCGTACTCTGAATGCTATTTAAATAGCTACGATAGGGGTTGTAGGTATAGTTTTGAATAATTATTGAGATTTTATTGGATTAAAATTGCATTGACATTGAGATTGGTTTCTAGAGTAAGCACCCTGGTCGAATTTGAAAAATTCTTTTCGAACGCGTAATCGTCACGATTACTTTAACCGTAAAATAAACTCGTACTACGGCCTCTGGTCGGGCGGCGAGCTACCCATAATCACCGTCCGTAGGGCACGGAAATAGCTAGTATTATAATAAAAATCATATTTACCTATCATCAATGCCTTCTGCAGTGTCTTTCGGGAGTCCATTTTGTTCATTTGGTGTGTCTACTACTGTTCTGTGATCCTGTGTAACTAATTCTATGTGGTTATTTCGTACATCTATGTCTATAGATGGTCTGTAAATTAAAAAAAGTAGATCATAATGCATTCCTTCTCCTTTTTCGTTTGAAAAAAGTTCTTCGTTTATGGTAAGCGATCAGCGCCGCCCCTGGACACCCGCAACACCAGAGGAGTCACAGGTGCGTTGCCGGCTTTTTAAAAAGGAATACGTTCTTTTCTTGAAGGTTTGAAGGTCGCATCGGTTCGGAAATACCACCGACGAATGTGTAATCTGTTAGCTGCTGTCCGTCTTCTGTCCATTGACACATTGGTATATAACATCACGCCTTTTATCCCCGAAGGGGTAGGCAGAGGTGCACATTATGCCACTATACAATGTAACACCCACTTTTCACTATTTATGTTATGAGTCCCATGTAATAGGGGGTGAGCCTATTGCCATATACCGGGCACAATTCCAGACTCCGTGCTATATATATTTGAGTTTTATATTCTATAGTATTCTATAGTCACAGACGATGCTAATGACTCACCCATGACAATGCGTGCTCTCGTAGTGTTTGGCCACAGCTCGCTTGCTGACACAGCGCTCCATACACACGCTACACTCATATCGACGGATGTGTTTGTTCGTATGATAGTTGTACGATACCTCGGACGCGAACGAACATTCGCATACATCGCATTTGTAATTAGATTTGTTCTGTAAATAAAAGAAGAAATATTTTTACTAGCTTTTACCCGCGGCATCGCTCGCGTCACAAAAGGATAAAAAGTAGCCTATGTGACATATACATATACACACAGCGCCATCTATACCAATACTTTTGTTTTCCCTCGGGAATATCAATTTTTTCCGGGATAAAAAGTACCCTATTATTTAATCCGGACTTCTAACTATACATCTGCAAAAATTCAAAGCAATCGGTTTAGTAGTTACGGCGTGAAAGCGGAACAAACAAACAAACTCACTTTCCGATTTATAATATTAGTAAGGATTAAACTACGTTTCGAAAAACCGACTTCAACGTTGAACAAAACATAACATCACGCCTTTCATCCTCGAAGGGGTAGGCAGAGGTGCACATTCTACCACTGTACAATGTAACACCCACTTTTCACTAATTATGTTACGAGTCCCATGTAATAGGGGGTGCGCCTATTGCCATATACCGGGCACAATTCCAGACTCCGTGCTACTACTGAGAATTTTTGAAAAACCCAGTAATACTTTGCCCGACACGGGAATCGAACCCGAGACCCCTTGCCCGGCAGTCGCACTTGCGACCACTCGGCCAACGAGGCAGTCAATCTTGAAGTCGGTTAAAAATAAAGTCGATTAAACTGTCAAACACCAAGCGGTCACCGGTGACCGCAACCTATTGTTCTATAATTGTGTCTACAAAACCGGTACTCGACGAATTAATATATGTAAGTACGTCTAAGTCTAGCCCACTTCTAAGTGTAATAAACACTTATATGAAAATCGCATCGAAGTCGGTTGAGCCAATCGCAAGACAATTGCGGACAAACATACATAAGGGTAGGAGAGCGTATTTACCCGTGTGAGAGTCATGCTTAAGCACTGCTGGGCCGGCTCGACCGGAGTGATACCACGGCCGAGCAGAAAACTATAGTGGCACAACCACAGCGTTATGTTTCGTCCTGTGAGTGAGGTCCCTTCCCCAATCCCTGAATCCCCAACAATCCTCAAATTCCTAATCCCCAGAAGGCCGGTGACCCACTTGTAACGCCTCTGGTGTTCCGTGTTTCCACGGGCGACGTCGATTGCTTACCCTCAGGAGATCCGTCTGCTCGATTACCGGCTTATTCCATAAAAAAGTACATACTGAGAACTAATGTTACGACTGAGAACCTCCATTCTATGACATCGGTTAATAAAATAACTGCGTTGATAGTCATTAAATAAATATCATCACTACATAGTCATAATAAAACAAAGTCGCTATCCACCGTCTGTCTGTCCCTATGTATGCTTAGGTCTTTAAAACTACGCAACGGTTTTTGATGCGGTTTTTTTTAATAGATAGAGTGATTCTTAAGGAAGGTTTATATGTATATTACACGCATATTGTACCCGTGCGAAGCCGGGGCGGGTCGCTAGTAAAATAATAGATTAAAATACATACCAATTCATGCTTAACATACAAATGATCTTTCAAATCCTCCGCGTTAGGGAAAGACAGAATACATTTTTCACACTTAAACATCGCATTAACATACTCTTCCCTTAACAACAAGACTCTTCTTTCTTCTAACAACTCTTCTGCACTCAACTCAACTTCTTTAAACAACTCTACATCTCTATCTCTATCTACATTTCTCTTTCTCCTTTTCCTCTTTAATTTCACATTCTTTTGTTTATTATACGTTTTATAAACGATTAGTTTTTCATCATCTGAATTATTATCTTCTACTATGTCAGACAATTCTTCTTTTATGGGCATTTCCGAGTTGTGCGTAGGTATAATTTGGAATGGTTTATGATCTGTATTATACAGGTCAAAGTTGTATAAAACATGCTGTGTCAGACGAGGACGAGGTTGAAACTGTGATAGTTTAGAGTTCTGTGAAAAAAAAACATTGTAAAAATAAAACATGCTGTGTCAGACGAGGACGAGGTTGAAACTGTGATAGTTTAGAGTTCTGTGAAAAAAAACATTGTAAAAATAAAACATGCTGTGTCAGACGAGGACGAGGTTGAAAGGCCTGATTACCCTCCCCTTCCCCAATCTTCCCAATCCCTGAATCCCCAACGATCCTCAAACTCCTAATTCCCAAAATGCCGGTAACGCACTTGTAACGCCTCTGGTGTTCCAGGTGTCCACGGGCATAGCTTACTATCAGCCTATCAGGTGATCTGTATGCTAGTATACCGGTTTATGCCATAAAAAAAAACTACAGATTCAAATTGGCTGAATCTGTGAGGGACAGTTCATTTTATCGAGGAAGAATTCATCTACTAATCGAAATCATACTTATTTAATATGTTCGTTTCTATAATATCATGACGATTTTCATTTTCGATCTCTTTGTGTTGTCAATGTGTTTAACTAGTACGTATTATAACGGGCTGGTGCTGAAAATCAGCGCCGTGGGCTCGACCCTGTGCCCGGTCCACGGTATTAAGCTGAGCTCCAGCCTTTTGCGCTGCGACGCACCATAGGCTTTTTTTCGGTATTTCTAAATTCTTGTTGTGTGTCGTAGCAAAATAAATAGTTTTTCTTTCTTCTTTCTTTGACTGGATTTTGATGTTACATTGTTCTCACACAATCGAACCAACAAAACTATGTATATACCTAAAATTGTATTGTAAACCCGATTGAAAAAGAGTAACCTATAGAGTTTCTTGCTCATTCTTCTCCATAGGACTTTTTTTTTGGATTGGCCTTCGAAAATGCCTCTCCAGTCTTATTGAAATAAACAACTTTGACTTTGATCAGAGATTAGATAGCTTTATAACATTACTATAGATATGACATCACCTAAATTAACTAAAAATCGCGGATTACTCACGTGAACATACTGAGAAAAGCTCAACTAATTTCGAACCACAGAGGCGTTCTACCTCATGTGCAGCGTGCGCGGTCGCAGCGATGTCGCGCAGCCTACTTTCGCAGGAGTAACCCGCGATTTTTTGTTAATTGTGTTTGCCTCACGGTAGATTTTTTAAAATGACATGACATTACCTGTTTAACAAAATCAAGGAACATCACATAGGAGGTCTTGACTTTGTTCTTGAACTTCGTGAACTGGTGTAGGTTGGCGTCACACTCCCAGCACAACCATACTGGAGTACTGTCTCCATGGGATAACTGGAACATATATTTTTTAATTAATCTTATTGTATGGCTATAATATAAAGTATATAACATTGCCTCGTTGGCCGAGTGACCGGGTGAGGGGTCTCGGGTCCAGTACAACTGGCGGAGTGATGGAGTCTAGAATTGTACCCTGTATATGGCAATAAACTCATAACATAGGCCGTATTACATAGGACTCATAACATAAATAGTGGTAAGTGGATGTTACATTGTAGTGGCATAATGTGCACCTCTGCCTACCCCGTCGGAGATAAAAGGCGTGAAGTTATGTTATTAAGTTATATTATACCTTTCGTGCGACATACTAAACTGATACATTATAGTGCAGTCACCACATCACAGGTTGTGGAATGCTCTTCATGAATATGAGCCTCTAGCATGGCTTGAAACTAGTCGAGTTCAAACAGTTACACAAGTAAGTCGAAAATCAATTTATTTAATTGTATGGTATATCATTAGTGATATGTCTCTAAACTAACATACTAGTTTTTATAAATGTTTTCCCTTGGAAATATTATATACCTGACATATATATTCTAATGTAATTCTATATAAAATTACAATTCTATACTATTGGAATTGTGAATAAATAAACTAATTGGTTTTAAAATATACTACTTTGTTATTGTAACTTTTATTACAATTGAGTTTATCATATAACATAATAAAAAAGTAAAGCATTTTTTTGAAATATTTTTTTTTTATTTTTCTTTAAATTTATTAGTAAATCAAAACATCATGTATGGGACATATTTCTTACAATGTGTACATTAATTATGAAGCTTATGTTGGAATTACCATCTGGGAATTTAATACATTAATGTCGTATTAGATTAATATGCGAAAGGATACTGAACGACGTGAAACAAAACTTTGAAAGTAACATACAATATATTTACTTGGGTCTAATAAGAGTAGATTTATGAAGAGATTTATATGTTTATGTGATCTTTAAACCATATGAAACATATTTTAAGTAAATACTTACAGTAAATTCATTGATTATTTGTGAAAACGTAAGTTTCTTCCAATACTCGACTTGTAATATCATTTTTCGCCCCGTACTAAGGCACCCACAACATAAACCATTTTCTTCGGAATCCATATCGAATATTTAACGTTATAACTCAATTATTATGACGTATTTCATTCATAAATTCAAAATAAATAATGAAATAAATAAAATGTTTTGCGCGAAAGCTCAGTAAGCTCACGCGAACGCCATCATTGTTTAATTGTCAAATACGTTTCGTTATTGTTTAAGTTAGTTTACTAAAGAAGGAAACATATATAGGGAAAATCAAGAAAATTTATCATGTTACATTATATATTACATTATAATTATATTAAAATGTTTAATATTTAATAGTAGTGCAAAAAATATTTTTAATAAATCAAATGAATGCAATACATTCTTTAAGCGAAATGAAACGTGGGTTCGAATGTCATCAAAGGAAAGGCCACTGACATTAAGCCGAAAAAACAACATATGTGTTACGGCTAAGAATGTTCGATGATCGTTAGCCAAATCATAGAAGTTCATTAAATAAAAATGTCTTCATTCTTACATTTAAATATGCAAGATTCTAACAGCTACGCTCTAGTATGTATTTGCTGCGCCTCACAAAGTCCCGTTCTAATTAACATGAGTACATGTAAACATACGGACTTTTTAACTAATTACTTAAATTTAGAGGTGAGTTATTCTTACAATATTTAAATTTAATAATCTTTTACTCGTTTAATAAGTTTCAAATACTTTTTACCCCAATTTCATTGATGAATTCAAATTTTTTATGTATAGGAATGACATTTTGTATTGGCATCAGAATGTGGCGAAGCCATTTCAAGATGGATGTACTGTACTAGTTTTTTTTAATCAAATACTTATGTTTTGTGTGAAATTGTTTGCTCATTTCAGCTTGAACTAAAAAAGATGTACATCTGCAACTTATGTCACAATATGCTGAAAAAAATAGAAATATTTAAACAGCAGGTTGAGGACAGTGTAGCATTACTTCTAAATCAGGTATAATCATATTGATGAATTTATTAATTTTTATAGGGAAATAAATAATTTAACTATAGTACTATAAATTTAGAACTAGAGCCACAAGCGTTTTTCATATTGAACCCTCTATAATTAAAAAAATCCTTTTACAACAATATGCTCTCATTTTAAACTGTCAAACACCAAGCGGTCACCGGTGACCGCAACCTATTGTTCTATAATTGTGTCTATAATGTCTATACTCGACGAGTTAAAGGTAACTAAATTACCTCTTATACGACATATATTACCAATTAATAAATTACTTGTATCAAAAACTATTGATCAATAAATAAATAAAAAAGTGCTAATGGTTCCGTTTCTTTAGCATAGCAAGTACTCTAATAGGGAATGATGGCAAATTAATTCCTTATTAAAAAGAAATTAAACGTAACTTTAAGACAGAATGCTTACCTCACCTTTGGTTGTCATGCGGAGACAAGATAATCTAAGTGGCAGGTGATTATTCAAAAACAAACCCTAAGCCCCCCATAATTAGAATACATTTTCCACCCACAGGCTCCGATACTAAAAATAAATAAACTGCACAATATGCAAATAGCACCAATTAAATCGTTTACACACCTCACCATTATTGAAGTTGAGAAAGATATTAAAATAGAACCGGTAACCGACAATATTTCGGACACTGAAGAAGTTAAGAACGAAATAGAATCATCGGACAACGATACTGAAGTACCGTTATCAGTTTTACAAACTAATAAAAATAAGAGAAAAAGAGATATGCGTTACGAAGGAAAGATTAAAACGGTGTATTTGACTGAAGACGATTTGAGGATTGAACGAGAGAAAATGGCTGCGGATGAGAAGTATTTGAAATTGCCGTATAAGTGTGAGCTTTGTATCTTGGCTTTTGATCATGAACTGACACTGCAGAATCATAATGAGGGGAGGCATAAAAAGGTAAGCTGTGGTCGTTTTCACCCCCTAAATTTGTTCATAGAAAAGTAGTCTCTAAACATTGGAAATAAGGTCTATAATGTATTTAGTGGAGAGCGGTCCCCGGTGACCGCTTGGGGATATAACAGCTAGACCATAACAAAGTCGCGGAGAACCTAACGGGTAACCGGGGCTCCGGCTCGACGTGCAGGAGAAAGAACGGGGTGGTTTTTAGTCAGTAAGAGTCTGACACTCCCTCCCGCCTCACCCAGGCGGGAGCAGTCATTCGATGATTTTCCCCCCTTAAAAATAAAAAAAAAGACCATAACAAAATTTTCTTAGAACGATATAACTCCTAAGCCATCGACGTCATCATACATAGCCTATTACGCTCCGCATTTAGGGCAAATACTTTCCAACAGCACATTAGCCTGTAGAAGCTAGAAGCAATCCCCAAAATGCGCATGCGTGGGATCTTATACCGCACTTTATACCGGCCACGTCGTTGAACTGTCAAAAACCAACTTCTATAAAAGACGTTAAATATCACCTATTTTACCTTCTTTTTGAGGGTGGGATAACTATCGAGTGACTTCTCCGGCCCGGGGTGGCGATAGGGAATGTCAGACTCTTTGAACATAAAAAATCAACCTTAACACCATAGTGTAAGGCACACATTACTTCTAAGTAAGATTTTAAAAAGTCGCGCGCCTGCGCGTGATTCTGAGGCCTTAGTACGAGTTAGATTTACGTTTAATGTATTCGAAACGAGTATGCGTTCGGCACTCTGATTGGCCGGCGCCAATGAAGCAACCAATCACAGCGCCTAACGTGTACTCGTTACGATTACTTTAAACGTAAAACAAACTCATACTAGGGCTTCAGATCTCAGAAGTAATGTGTGCGTTACGCTTAGGAGTTAAGGTTGAATTTGATATGTTTAGTTTTAGCAAGACGCTTCGATGCTCTTCGACTCTGCGCTGCTGTAAATCGAGGGTTCGACCATTCGACTAAACCAACAAGGTTGTCGATAAATTAATGTGATATTATGATTCTTTCAGGATGAAGATGGTTTCGAATGCAATGTCTGTAAATCTACGCTGAGCACAAAAGTTACCTTTAAAGAGCATGTCCAGAGACATTATAGAAGGTAAATACTATTTACGCTCACTCTTGAAACCAATCTCAATGTCAATGCAATTTCAATCCAATAAAATCTCAATGATTATTCAATGTCAACACTATACAACCACAATCGTAGCTGTTAAAATAGCATTCAGAGTACAGAATATATAGGCAAACTCAATACCATTTAGTTCATTCAATATCCACGCAATACGGATGCAATGGGCGCTAGTGTTGCAACTCAAGAGTACGAAATTTCACAATACCAATGTCGATCGATCGAAATTGGATTCAAGAGTAAGCCCCCAGGTCTCTTGTGCTCCTACCGCTCAGCTCCTATTTATGGTAGTGATATTTTATATCCTACTAGCTGTGTTCGCGACTTTGTCCGGGTGGAATATCAATTTTAGGACATAACTTTTTTATGATTCACTTTCCAAAATCAAAATATTCATATTCAGATTCATTTATTCATTGTAAAACATAGGTACATTATAAGTTCTTATGTAATATGTTGAGAGCGCTATGTTTTGCCTCTAGGGCGTACAATACATGCAATATATTTAATTAGAACAAGGATTTGACACAGATTCATAAACAATAAACAGTAAACACATCACTACAATTACACAATCTTGACCATTTATCTCGTTAAGAATTTGCAATTTCATTGAACACTGACGACTCTTTAAATCAAATTAATAAAATAATGTAAACCACAAAATATCCGCTTTGAAGAACATTAGAGATTTTCAATAATGGCATAAATTAAAATTAAATGTCAAATAGCCCATGTTACTCCTTAGTAGATACATTAGCTATCTGTAAACGCTTGTCAAAATCGGTCTAGTCATTTTAGAGAATAGCCAGTACAAACGGACGGACAAAAATTGTAAAAATGTTATGTTGGTATGTGCATCGTATGTATATTCATATGCATGTAGTAAAATGCGGTTGTTTCATTATTACAAACATATACTAAAATTTTATTCATCAGTATAGATAGATTACCTTCCTTGCAATGTCCGTTACAAAAATGTTATGGGGCTACTGTATTCTTGCTCAACAGATGGCGCTACTGTGTTCCTCTCGTTCTTCGTCCAATAGGGAATTGGCTAGGGTCACACTCACACCATTGGACGTTCATTGTTTGACAGTTGCTGTTATTGGACAAAAAATCTCTTGATACATTTACGCCCCCTGGTGAACGAAAATACGGAAGCCCCCATATGAACCAGTAGTTCCGAACAAAAAAACAATCTTTTCAGTTTTATATATAAAGCATACGTTACAGAAATCAGAAATCAGAAATAATTTATTTGTCAAAAATGTAGATAACAAATACCTATGTTAAGTAAAATCGCGGGTTACTCACGTGAATATACTGAGAAAAGCTCTACTAGTTTCAATGAGCTGCGCGACGTCGCCGCGACCGCGCACGCTGCTCATGAGGAAGAACCCTTCTGTAGTTCGAAACTAGTAGAGCTTTTCTCAGTACATTCACGTGAGTAACCCGCGATTTTACTTAATTTAGTATGTCTCACGATAGTTATTATAAAAACATAACAAATATGTTGTTTTATAATTTATGGAGAGTCCCGGTATAATTTGCCTTACGACATGCAAAATTATTGAATTAATTGAATACATTACAAAGTATGGAAGCACTTCGGCACTACTGGGCCTGGCTCGACCGGAGTGATACCACCAACGAGCAGAAAAACGACGTGAAGCAACGCTTGCGTTGTGTTTCGTCGTGTGAGTGAGGTTACCGGAGGCCTAATTACCTTCCCCTTCCCCAATCTCCCCAATCCCTGAATCCCCAACAATCCTCAAATTCCTAATCTCCAAAAGGCCGATAACGCACTTGTAACGCCTCTGGTGTTCCAGGTGTCCATGGGCGACGCCGATTGCTTCCCATCAGGTGACCTGTCTGCTCGTGTACATAATTTTAAAAAAAATAGGCTCTACGATTATTATCTTAGGTTTATTTTATGATAGTCTCGTCCCTCTGTTCAGTGAAGGCCTCCCTACGTATCGTAATATTTAATTTTGAAATTTCTTTTTCATTCCAGACTGGAATGCATGGTATGTCAAAAACGCTACAATCACATGAGTTCAGCACTCCAGCATTATACTGAACAGCATGCTGGCGATACCAATACATTATTCTCTTGCAACAAATGTGAATTTACAGCTAGGTAAGTAGGTAAGGATAATAAGATCATTCATAACAGCCTATAAGTAGCCACTGCTGACCAAAGGCCTCTTCTCACACGGAGAAGGTTTGAGCATTAACAACCACGCTTGCTCAATGCGGGTTGGCGATTTCAAACTTATAATTAGGAATAACGAGGCAGTTAT